CCCCAAAACCCCAAAACCCCAAAACCCCAAAACCCCGGAACAGCTAAAAAAATTTGAAAACCCCAGTGTAAAATAATTTTAGATAAAAATAAAATAATGTCCACTGAAGAAGATGGCTCTTATTACGAGGACAGTGAGTCCTTCGACGAGTAAGTCCCTCTCCCCTTCCTCCCTCACCCAAATCTAGAATCAACCAAGAACGCCAAAAACGGCTTCTCCTCTTAGAAGAATACGAGAAGTTTCTTAAGCGCAAAAACTACAACATCACTAAACTTCGAGAGACAGCTGCAGACAAGATCTCCAAGAAGAACAGAAAAAGCAAGGCCCTTGAGATGTTAAGGGAGAAGAGCAAGAAGGAACAGAAGGAAAGAACCAAGGATGAGTATAAGCAGATACTGAGAGCCTATTATTTGGGAAATGAACAAGATGTGATTAGGTATGAGAAGGATGTGGAGGAGTCTGAGGAGAGAGACTGGTATGAATGGACTTATTGTTATGCTTTTAAGAACCCAGATGCGCAGAAGAAGGAGAGTGAAGTTGACTGCGATGATGCCTTTGATCAGCTGGATGGTTTATTCAAAGAAATGCCGATGCCTAATGATATCCAAAAATCAAGGATGCATACAGCCCATCAGGAGGTACTTCGAGAAATCTTGGAGCAGATGTGAGACCAAGATCGTGAAATCAAGAAATATAAAGGTGGAAGATTTACGAAGATCGAAGATAAGAAAGAAGAAGATGAAGGCAATAAAAAACAAGAAGAGTTTGATATCAATCCAAAATGGATCGATAACGGCCCTTATCCTAAGGACTTGTCCACTCTTGTCTATAATATCTTCCTCTACAGAATAAATGTTGGACTAAGTCTTGAGTCGAGAACTGTCATGAGCGTTGATGGTAGCCATATTTATATAGTTATCCGCGCTGACGAACTTGATTTAAAAAGGGTGGCTGAGGAGAGTAAATATACCATGCAGCTTGCTATTGGTTTAACTGATCTGACCTCTCTGGAGCCATGCGACTACCTCTACAAACCATTTAGGAAGTGTCAGAACAAGCCAGATGATATCCTCCAAACTGAGAAGACTCTTGAAGAGTACTTCTCAATTGTAGAAGGCAATGTTAAGGATACTTTAGAAGATAATCCAAATAAACACCAAGTAAAAGAAAGTGTCATTGGAAACATGTCAAATGCTGAACTGATCACTTATAAAGAGTACCTGAGAATAATGAAAGAGGGTTTTGCCGACTTCCAAGCACATACATTAAATCGCCCACATATGAAGGGAGTGCACTTAAGGACTATGGCTGTGAACGGACTTGAAGAAGCAAACAGAGAAGGTGCAGAAAAAGGCGGCGCTAAACTTTACAAGTAAGATCAGCATGTTAAATCTTCTAGCCTATGGCAGAGACTTGGATGGAAACATCGTATTGGTGCTTTCGTAGATTTTGTTGATGAACCAGACACAGAATATCTCTGGAGAAAATATATCGCTGATGAAACTTTAAAGAGATCTTTGTTCAGAGATGTGGATAGAATCAAGTTGACTGATATCATTTTGAATAAGACTATCTATAATAAATCACTGTTTTCTTCAGGATATGTCTCTTGTGGGTTCGCTTTTCATAACGAATTCGATTTATTCGGAAAACCAAGATTTAGCCATGAAGAAAGAGAAAATATTATGGAAGATCAAGAGGTAGAACTTCAAGCAAAAGTTCTATTTGCTGAGAACATACCAAGAGGACTTATGAAATCCTGGAGATGTGTCTTGCCATCCCCCTCTAAGATTAGGAATTACTTTGGAGAGAAGATTGCGTTCTACTTCCATTTTTTGAATTTCTTGACTGTAGCGTTGATCATCCCAGGGATTATAGGTATAATTGCTTTTGTGCTACAGATAGTTTTTGACGTTGATGATAGTGGAACTGATGGAGGAATAGCTGATTATAATAATGCAATTTTTACACTGATACTTGTAATATGGTCAGCAGCTTTTTATGAGTACTGGAAACGCCAAGAAGTCAAATACTCAGTGCTTTGGGGTCAAACTGATTTTGAAGAGGATCAAGTGCAGAGAGTCGAATTTTTCGGAATTATGAGACGATCTCCTATTGATGATAAGAGAGAAATGTATTTCAGCTCATTTGCAAGAATGTTTAGAATGTTAATTTCAACTTGTGTTACTTTATTTATGATGTGTCTAACTATTGCATTGATTCTCGGCACTTTTGCACTCAAGGAATATCTGATTGAAGAATTTAGTGGAGATTTTATAGAACCTTATATTCCTACTATTATCTCAACCTTGAATGCCTTCCAGATTTATTTTTTCAATCAGGTGTATAACTACATCGCATTTTTGCTGACAAAGTTTGAGAATCATAAAACTCAAACTGTATTCGAGAGATCTCTGATTGTGAAAACATTTACTTTCTCTTTTGTGAACGGATTTAACTCATTATTCTACATTGCGTTTATCAAACAAGAGCGCGAGGGATGAATTGATGATGTAAATGGCACTCTTGTCCAGTCAAAGGACAACAACTGCTTCAGAGAGCTATATGTGCAACTTAGATCAATCTTCATCATTGCTATTTTGTATAATTTAATGGAGATTGGGCTACCAATAATGTTCAACTTCCTTGCTAAAAGGAGCAGGAAAAAGTTCTATGAAAAAGCCAAACATTCTGAAGACCCTAATGTCAAGCTGATGCTGAGAATTGAGAAAAATATGGAGAGAGGAGTCTATGCCTTCAAGGATATTGATGGTACCTATTGGGACTACTTAGAATTGATGAGGCAGCTTGGATACATTCTGCTTTTTGGGCTTTCTTTCCCTCCTTGCCTAATTTTGGCATTTATTAACAATGTACTTGAGCATCAGGTTGACAAAGCTAAATTGGTGTACTTTAAAAGAAGGCCTCTCCCTCTAGGTGGATCATCAATAGGTGTCTGGAGAATAATTTTGTACTTTATCTCTATCATGGGAATCTTCACGCAAGCAGCTATTTTGTGTATGACTGCAGAAACATTCACAAAAGATGGAGATGACAAATTCGTTCAGTTCTTATGGGCATCCTTAATCTTTGTCATCATCAGATGGATGATCGGATACCTTATCGATGACTTTCCACTAAAGTATAGATACGTATTGAAGAGACACCGCCATATAGTTAATAAATTCTTGGTTGGTTTGCCAGAGTCTTCAAGGTTTGATGACCTGTTCAACGAGAAGACAAAATTGTCAGTACACTCAATAGTTAACGGTAAGCTCCTAGCTAATCTCATCGATTTTAGACAAACTCTATGCTGCTGATAGTTGCAATATTAGCAACGAAGCTCTATCCAAATCTTTTGACTCAGGAGTTTTGAAGGTTGTGACAAGCATCGAAGCCACTAAGAACAATGCAGTCAAGGTTGAAGATATCAAGCTCCAAGAGAAAACTCCTGGTAGGATCTTTCCTAAATATGACTAACACTTCATAGGCTCCACACTCAAAGTCCCTGAGAAGGGATCTGATGAATATGATGCTAGTAATAATGTAAATAGAAGTTCGGGGAGCTATAATTCAAACTCAGATTCATACTTTGATAACTCAGACGAAGAATACGATGATCCCTCAGGAGAAGGCGAAGATAGCTCAGGAAGTAGTGCGCAAGAATCGAGCTATATGTCTCAATCCAGCATACCAGACTCAAGTGAGGAAGAACCGGTAGATTCATCAGAGGAAGAGTCTAAAAGAGGCAACTAAAAACCATGATTAAATTTCTTTCTGATGAAATTTCAATATTCGTGAATAAAATAGGGGTTTTGGGGTTTTGGGGTTTTGGGG